ACGCAATGGCGTTTCCCAACCCTCTGCGTCAAGTGACGAAAGAGGGCTGCGGGTAATGCGCTTGACTGTCGCCGGTTTACAATGGTTTATGGGTAATGTAGTCCTTCAGGCGATTCGGGCGTTTGAAGTTGAATGAATTAAAGTTTAATAACGGTTCCTGCACTGCCTGAGCATGCGCCGTGGAAAGGCATGGAAAGTTGATCGTTTTGATTGTTGTTGTGAGAGATGTTTATGTATAGGGTAATTCTTGTTTCCTTTACGATTTGTCAAAGGGGCGACGGGAGGAGATTGAAAGAGAAATCTCCCATTTACACTTAGAGGTAAAGCTTGCACTTCACAGTAATCTGTTTTTCCTTAGAATGTTGTATAATTTGTCGTTCATTCTTTTCTTTGGTTCATATATGTTTGAGCCATTATTTTATGATTCATGTTTTGTGAATAAGCTATAATTGGAAACATGCTGTGCAATAGATACTAGTAGAGGTATTTATGCAACATACTAAGTTAAAATCAAACAAATCATGGCTTAGCATAATATTTGAAGTGAACCCAGTCTTGTGTAATTAATCAAGGAAGGGGAAGATTTCATTCATAAGCTGCCTGAATGGAAGGATAAAAAGTGCAGATTATTTAAGTATACAAAAGCCAGGATTTCCTAAGAAAAATCATCAAGATGTCTATTAATAATTATTGCCCATAATGCCCAAATGAAATATTTATATTTGACAATATCCTGAGGGATCAGAAGATGTGTCGAGATCTGGCCCATTTAATTGCCAAGAGTTGGAGATGACTGAATCACCGTTATATCCTGAGGATAAGATAAAAGGATGATTTAGAGTGAGAGGATACACTCATATTTGAAATGTGTGCCAAAGGCTGTAGTTCAATATTAGAGCAGAACCAAATGTTTGGTGTATAGTTCTTATGTTTCACCAGATAAGACTAGAAAAAAATTACTTGAAAGTCTGAACCTCAAAGTGTCATCATAGTTGGAAAATTCTGGGATCTGTACTGTAGATAAATAGTATCAGGAGAGCTGCATGTTTTTAATCCTATTTTCTAGAGTACATCTGAACCCATTCAGATTGCCATTCTAAGTACAAGTATTGAATAGTGGAGCACACCAAAAATACTGATGAGATTTGAAATCTGGATTTTGATACTATAAAGACATCTATCTTAAACTATCAAGGAAAACTTTTTATAATCCTCGGATAATTCTTTATATAAATCTTAGTTGTCCCATCTGAATAAAGTTGTTGTAGCACCCAAAAAAACTAGAGTCTTTGTATTATACATGATTGATTCATAAAGTATTCCACTTTATGATGATAAGGTATTTTAAATATTCAAACAGTGGGAAAGACCACAGAATAGGGACTTCGTTATCCAAAGTGTGATTCCTATTTATTTAAGCAGTTGTGTGAGTTTTACTTATTTCTGATGAGGCAGATTCCCAAAAAATAATCTTATCAGTGGAAACTAAAAGATTTTCCAATTTGAATCGAGTGAACCTGACTGAACACTCAGTTTATTATGGAGCAATAAGAGCAGTGCAACATTTTTCTGCCTATATTGTGTCTACAGAATGCCAAGTGGTGGACTTATGCTCCTGGGTGATAAGTATGATGCATAGGAATGCTTGCAGGCCCCCTATAAGAAAAGAACCATCCTATAACCATGCCTATAAGAACCATTCTAGGCATCTATTGTATGAAGTCACTTGGATTCAAAATCTGGCTATCCAAGTCTATTGGAGTTGCCTAAAGTAAAATTTGGCCCAGTTATCCTGGAAGAGTTTAAGCCAGTCATCACTTATGAAGTCAACAGTGTCATCAGCAGTTTGAGTTCAGTCTCCTGTATTTTAGATTTCTATCACCTATTGAAATCTTCTGGGAAGTGATGGTTGGGTCAGGGAATGGTGAATGTTTATCTGCAGAAGGGGGTAATTCTGTTTGCCTTGAAGGAGACAGATGTCTGCTCTTGCGCCCCAACCCCAATGAACAGATGATTGCTGTGACTACGTAGTTTTGTACCCAATGGATCCAGACAATTTTCATCCAATCTCCAGCTGAGAAGGTGAATGGTATACAGTTCTGAAAGAAGCAAATTATCTGAATCATTCTTGGTTATAAACCGAGACAACATTTATAATGTGGATTATTTTTGACAGACCCAATATGGCGGTAGAGTCCATCCTGCCTTCCTTGATTTCTCTGCCACCTTGCTACCTTGCCTCTGCCGATTTCTCTGCATCAACCATAGAATCCTTCTGGCCCATCTTAGAGAATTGGGAGGCACTGTGTTATAGTAGATTTCCTCCTTTGTTTGGATTTCAGTCCAATCGGTTTAGGCAGGAGGAGAGGTCAAATTCTACCTTGAGAGGTGCCTTAGGATTCTATTATCTTGGCACTCCTATTTAACATCTAAATGAAGCAGCTAATGAAATCATCTGTTCATGTGGGTGTGGTATTATCAGTATCTCCAACCAGAATCAAGTGATGCCGCTGAGGTCCTTTCCTTTGCACCTGGAAGCTGTTAAGAGTCAGGATGGGGGGAAATGGACTCTGGCTCAAAACACTGGCTAGACTGGGTGTGGCTATTGATCCTCCTTCCTGACACCAGAGATTTCCCACATTTAATTTTGGCTGGAGGATGCACTTTGCCAGTGAGGATGTGCAATTTGGGAGTCCTCCTGGACTCATGATTTCTGCTTGAATAGTAGATGGCAGCCATGGCTGGAGGGGTCTTTGTACAGGTTTGCCTTGTGCACCCATTCCTGGACTTTGTACCTAGTGACTCATGTCATAATAAGCTAATCAAGTGATTACATTCGGATTACTATAACACATTCTGCATGGGACTGCCCTTGAAGAGTATTTGGTAGCCTGCATGGGACTGCCCTTGAGGAGTATTTAGTAGCTACAGCTGGTCTAAAATGTGTTGGCATGAACAGTTTTTGGTTTTTCTCATTTAACACCACTGCTCTGTGAGCAGCACAGCTTCCCAATAGGTTTATGGGGGTTATGGCTGATAATAGTTGTTTTAATCTTTGCACACTTTCTGGAGTCATTGGTGTGAGATGGGTGGCCATCTACATTATTTTTGTTTCCAGATTCAGGGGCTAATAGGTGACCCACTACACCTTTCTGAGCTTCCCACTTTGTCAATCAGCATTAAAGGCAATGCAGGGTTAAGGACATTTCTCCATTAGTGACTAAGAATACCAAATGAAGTAATGTAATGCTTCCACATCCATAGCCAGTTTAAATAGAGTTATTTTAATAGTTGAAATGAAACTATGAACCCTTTTGTCCCCTGTGTTTATTTCTCCACATACGGTAACCCTAACCCATTCTTAAGACCATCATGAAAGAAATGCAGATTGTTGTTTCAGAGTATTGTTACTTTAGATGGTAGTTTTGCCAAATTTAGATCATGTGAATAAGTATTATCTGCATGCCAACAAATGTGTACAGGCAGTTAACAGCAATAATTATGATTTAAATTTCATCACAAAGCAGTGCGGTTTAAAGCATGATGTCATGTAAGTACATCCCTTAATGACAACAATCCTGGCATGCCCCACTGCCATCATAAAGTGAGTCCCAGGCTATTTGTACCGAGCCAGCAGGCAGGTAAGGCACAACACAAGTGTAATGCTGCCAGGAATGGGTGCTGCTAGGCCGGGGAAGGGTGCAAGCAACTCAAGTTACTTGTAACCTCTTCTGTTTCCTCACTATCTTTGCTTTTGGGAAGCTAGCAGAGAAGGTAGAGAATGGTGATCACATGACTGCAAGATGCTGCGACTGTTGTAAGTGTAACCTTATTGCCAAGAGTCCAGGTTGTGACCAAGGGAACTTTAAACATTAATTGTAAGTGTCCTTTTATAGCACCATTGTAGCTTCAAATAGCTGCTAAATGAATGGTCAGTAAGCAAGGGCTGCCTGTAAGCATTTCCTGCCCAAATGTGGGTTTTGACAATAGAGGGCTGACAATACTGCAGAATATTAATGCAATCCACGCATTCCCGTGAAAAGCCAAGATTGACGGCAATTTTCTTTGACTTTATCAATTGTCCTTAATCAGTTCAACAACCTTTCTCATGTGAAAGTCCTCAATTGCTGTGATAGGTTGTCCACTTTGTTTTTGATATTATAAATCAACTCTTCTTGGTTCATTGTTTCACATTTTTTTGCCCAGCTACTCAGTACTCACATCAACACAGTTATCACCAAAAATGCCCTTTATTTGGTGGTGAATTTCACAGGGGGAGGGGGGAACATTCCAGCAGCAGTCAAAAATTCAATTAATCATTTGAAGCACACTTAGCTTTCATTTCACAAGCAATAACAATATACATTTTGTTCACAGCAACTTCCCAACAATTGAAGTGAAAGAATAGATGCTAAAGGAGATGTGAAAGCTTCTAGCATTCCAGTACTGGTCAATTGTTGGTCACTTGTACCAATCCTCATAGTGTCACTCAGCTATAGAGGTGATACAATGCATGATCTCATTATTGCTTTACGTTGCCTCAAGGATACCTTATTTGATGCTATGTCATGGAAGAAATGGCTTAAAGCTATAATTCGATTCTGTCAGTGTAATTGAATTAATTGCCAAGAAACAACTTCGAATAAACTTCCACATGGCTGCATTGTAAAATGACTTTTGGTGCAATTGAACAAGTACCAGTATTCTTTTCCTTTACTGCGTAGCTTAAGTACAAGTTGTCATAAACTTGATAAACTACATAGTTACTTTTCCAAGAATAATAATTTTGAAGCTTTTTCTTTAAATGTTTTAAAGGAACTTCCTGCAATTTATCAGATATTTTATAAGTTCTCATTCATTGTAGATAAATGTACATATCCTCAAACTAGATTTCTTAATTTAAAAAAAATAAATTAGTGAATTGATATTTTACACGAGTATTACACAACAATCATTAACATTAAATTTAACATAACATAACATAACATAACAGGGCAACTGTTTAGATTTCTTAGTCAAATTCCGGATTATTCTTGAAGAGATATTCTGCCTGTTGATTAAAAAAAAGCCATGTAAAAAGATATGTTCAGTTTCTATAGGTTAAAGATAGCATTGCATTTCCTAAAATTAATGGAAATGGACTGAATTATTGTTAGATAGCCCTGGTATTGGTGAAGGATTAGATAGCATCTTTTACCAGAGCTTTTAATAGCAACATCTGCTTGGTATTCACAGTACAATTCCTGCTATAGGGAATCCCATTATGAAAGTGTGCCTCATATGTGGAAGTGAATGTATATCTGGAATCCAAGGAAGAATTTAATCAACAGAGACAGCATATTGGAAAATTGTTGAGCTCAGGTTCCATTAATCAGATGAAAACTTGCATAAGCCAAACCATCCACCATATGGAAATGACCTATTAATTAAAAATCAAAGTCCAAGGCTACCTCCATAAAATTATACCAAGAAGGAACTATCTCAAAACAAGATAACCTATGTCTATACCTTGAAAGATAAAGTCTATTGTTATGCAAATTAATGTTTACGATAAAATACCTGAAATGTTTGTAAACTATATGTCATCTGAATAAGCTTGTTTCCCTCCCCTTGTCATTCTATGTTGATCACTTAATAAACTAAATTAGACTAAATATTTTGTCTCAGCCCTCTTTTTTTATTTTCATTTTTTATTGATATGGGCCCAGTCTGTGTTATAATGTGTCATTTTCTTATATATGCTAATGTCTGCTCATTTGGTGTTCCCAAATAGAAATCTTATACATATGTACCTGGAAGTAAACAATCCTTTACATAGTGGAATTTAATTTTAAATAGATAGGATTACACTGTCCATGGTAGAAGGCAGTTACAAACTGAAGTGTATAGTAAAACCTGGGAGGAAAATATGTTGCTACAAAAGAAACAATATTCTATGCATACCAATAAGACTGGTTCTAGAGCTAAAGTCAACCAAAAGTCTGTTTCTAGGACTGTAAAAATGCTTATGACGATCCTTGATGGTTAGAAAACAGCTTACAGGATAACAGCAGATGTATTATCTTTAGCATGATGAATAGAAATAAGAGGCCAAATTAAAAAATCTTAGGGGATATTGTTGAGTTAGATGTACATTTTTTTTTACACCGGATAAAATACAATTTCAAAACACAAGCCTTTTTTGAAGGAATGGTGCTAAGGGCACTGTAGATTGTATAGAGCAGTGGTGGCTAACCTTTTTGGGCTCCTGCGCCGATAATTGTGTGTGCGCTTGCATGCCAGCACCCAGAAGGCAATGCGTGCAGGTTCCCCCACATCCCCTGCGCATGCGTGCGTCCCCTGCACTGCGTGACTCTGCACATGCGTGTGCACCTACGCCACGCCGCACGATTGCACATGCATGAGCGACCCTTGTGTGCGCCACACATCTCTGCGCATGCATGTGCGTCTCCCACACACCCCTGACCCCGCACATGCACGCCAGATACCTGACAATTAGCTGTCAGGCAGGCGGCGCGCGTGCGCAGTAGACCTGCTCTGGGCGAGGGCCCGTGTGCCAGCAGTAATGGCTTTGCGTGCCACTTCTGGCAATGTGCCATAGGTTCGCCATCATGGGTATAGAGGAACTGATAGAGGTATCATAGGCTTCTTATAAAGTTATAGGATTACTTGCTAGTATTGCTGAAACCAGAAAATCTACAAATAAGTTGTAAAAGAAATAACTAAGGTTTACAAATAAGTAATAAAAAAACACTATTTTTGTCTCCTACATGGAAAGGTGGATGGATGGACAGACGGATAAATAGATTTAGATAGATAGGCAGACAAACAGACAGACATTTCCTTACCAGAAAGTCAACCGGGTCATCTGGCCTAACCATGCAACATTGATTCAACCCCTGCATAAGTGTTGGCATTACATGCTTCATTAAGTAGTTCCTCAGTGGAATTGATTGGGCTTCCAGAAGTTCTTGTTCTTGCCGCTTCACTTCTTCTAAACGCTTATTCTAAACGCAGACAAATATATTAAATTGTATAAAGACATAACATAAAGTCTAGAGCAATAATAATAAAAACCTGATTTTTTTAACCTCTTTTCAGATCATATACCTGACTTTAGTCTCTTGAATTCTACATCCTCTCGTTATTAAAATGTAGCAAAGTTTGTATAACCTACAGTTCACATCATGCATATGCCCAAGAGAAAATGTCTACTGTGACGTTTCCTGAACATATTTTTCTATATAAATCATATCTAAACCAGCTGGGCATGCATGTATACTCTGTAGATTTTTAAAGCAAAGGAAGTGTTGGCAATTAAGATTGTGATATCAGGTGACCAAAAAAAGTGCATGTAATTGCCCAGTGTAAATTTATTTTCCAAAAAAAACAGAGGACATCATGTATCAGGCCTCTCGCTAGGAAGGAAAATGCAAGAATTTATTCCTTCAAACACAAAGACTCAACAAAAAGATCAAATGTAACAAAACAGTAAAGACATTATGAAAAGTATATAGCAATGGCTACATTCAGTATCAAATCCACACTATCCTATGAAAGTTAAAATCATCTAAAGCAGGGTTGTCAAACTCACATCACAGCAGCATCACATGACGTATCAGGACGTTTTTTCCCTTTCACTAAACTGGGCCTGGACATGACCAGTGCATGACACATCCGACCCGCAGGCCAGGAGTTTGACAGCCCTGATCTAAAGGGCTAAAAGCAATTCTTTCTATATAGAAGTTTCCATTCATTTGTTTTTAATAATTTGATTTAGTATCATTTTATTCATTTTTGAATGTATGAAGACTTTACATCACAAATTTTAACACAAGAAACTTATTGTATTTATGGAGGTCAAACGTTTGTCCAAAGTTCAGTATATCGACAGTATGTTAATTAACAATAGCCGTAACTCAAAACAGCTATTATGAGTGAGCCATGTTCCATTCCTAAATCTGGTTCCTAAAACCAGCATGTCAAGCTAATACAGATAATTTATCACTAAAACAGTATATCTAGTTTTGTTAATTCATTTGAGGCAGAGGTATGCGCAACCTGCATATTTGTAAATTATGGTCAACAACATCCACAATATGCAATGTTTTGTTAAAATGTAGCCCAAATGATGATATCGTAATGCACATAGAAAAGTGCCAAGAGTTGTAAGATGATGATGCAGGGCTGCTTTTATCATGTGCCCCTATGGCCTCTCCTGCAAATGCCTCTAGTTATAAAAGTTATAAAATGCCAGTAAATCTCTGATGACCTCACAGTAAGGTAAGGCCTCAAGGGATGCTTACTATTCATACCATAGATAGAAGGTTCTTTTGAGGGAAGGAAGTATCTTTCCATATCCAAAAATTAGCAATACAAAAAACAAAATCACACCTCCTTTAAGCTTTCTGTTTCTGACATGCTTATATAGACAAATGCTAGATTTCTCAACATTTTTTGTTATAAAAGCTTATTTCCATTGAGTCTGAAATGTTCTACTCTCAGTTTCTACAAAATAGTTATTAGCATTTTTCTCAACAGGATCTGGAGTGCTGCTTGATTATTGTTTGGTGTTTGATATAGGTGGCAAATGGGATAAAGGAGATACAGGAGATTGAAAGATGAAAAATTTCATGGAAGTAAACACTGAAGTTTAGAGCATTAAGGGGAAATGTGGCACCTTCTCCCTCTCTTGGCTAAACTATTTATGGGATCTTATACAATCTACTTTATTTGAAGGCTCTTCAGGTAAAATTAAAAAGTATTTATTTGCTGCTGAAGTAGACATTTAATTAGTCTGGTTCTGAAGACTTAAAACTCATTCATGTTATTCAACTGCTTCCTAACTACTGCTTGTCTGGGATTGCTACTCCCTCATGGAAATTGTTCTGATTCAGTTGATTTAAAACTTTTGTTTGGGGGTGGGGAATAGAAGCAAAGCAGGAATTCAAAATCTCTGTCTATTTTCTGTAACATGTTAATATGCATCCTTTTCAAGCAGCCTACTGCCCCTCCCATAACCCTTCATTTTGACAGAGCTAAAAGTTCTTTTTATTGATGTTTCCCTTATAAAACTGGAGTCCTTTGCTATTCTAGTATGTCTGAATTTCTACAGATATTAGCTGCTTGCTCTTACATTTCCTTGGTGAGTTACCAATCTTCCATTTCTTATGAATGAAATGGATAACTCTTAGTAAAAGGTCCTTTTACTAAGTACCTTTTACTAAGTAATCAACACTCAGACCAGCATAGATTAACTCCAAGGTCAACTTCAGACTAACAATTAAGCAATACCCCAATCACGAAACTGCCAGAGAGCCATTAGTAAACAGCCCAAACAAAGAACCCCTAAGACCACCCCCACAGACAGGCAAGACACCAGAATTGATGAACTGATAGCAAACAGCACTCCTTACTAGCACTGATGGTATTACCTTGAATCCCAAGAATATGCTTTTGTTACCTGTAAAGTTATCACTACTTATCTCTCTTCAACTGGTTCCTTCCTGTTAATTAGGATCAGATTTAGTAGCACTGTAGCAGAAATATATAATACTATCCAAGATGACATAAAGACTACAGCAAGATTTGCACAGAGAGATAGAAATTATAATAGCAAGGAGTCAAAACTAACATTGTCTTGTCCTGTTCTCAAAAATTGTTTGCAGTTTCTTTTTGTAATGGGAAAACTAGGTAATGCAGATAATTTGTCAGTCCTCTAAGGCAGATCAGACCAGAAAACCAAATTTATAGTAACAAAATCTTGTAAATTTGAATATACTTCCCATCTCCCTCCCTTAATCAGATTCAAATTTCTTTTATCTGACCATTGTCTTGGTTGTGTCTCTTTTTCCTGTTCTTCAAGGATATTCATCCTTCCTATTACATTAGCCTTTGGAATAAGTTAAAAGTTGAATGAACTGAATTTTAAAGCACTGAAGGAATTTGCTGAAGTTCTGGCTAAATATTTATATATTAATTTCTCTATTTTGGAGAGCAGGCAAACTGTTGAATGACTTGAGGGCAAATGTCCTGTTTTCAAAAGATCTGGAAGATAACATCAATATGTGAGAAGATTCTAGAGATTTCCAGGTATTCAAAAAAAAAAAAAAAGAGCAACATTATCAGGGACCAGCATTATAGGTTTGCCCCCTAATCTTTTCCTCTCTTTTTTAAATTAACTTCCACAGTAGTGTGGGAAATACATCCCAAAAGGACAGTGCCAGAAACCTCACAGCACCTGAAACCTCAGGAAAAAAGTGCCAAGAGACTCAAGCCAGCCCTTTCCCCTTTAAGAAAACCAAGAAGCACCATCTGAAAGGAAAACTCAGAGCAGCTGACAACAGAAGCATTTAAGTAGAGCCATTAAGATAAGGGCAATCAGGCTAAAAATAAACTCCCCAAGGCAAACCAAAACTCCCTTGTTCCTGCTCCTGACAGGATTAAAACCCCAAGGACAGGAAAAATAAAAGGCCTGGGACAAAATTAACCCAGGAAAACAAAACTCAGGGCAATCAGAAACACATCAAAACTCATCAAGCTGCAGGAGCTGCAAAGGAAATTAAGCATAAAAGGCTCAGATTCATGCTGCTAAACTGCTTGCAAGCCAGGACTGCTCTAGCTCTGTCACTTTTTTGCTTCTTGCCTTCCTACATTAAAAGAATTCCATTTTCTGGCAGCTCGCTTCTGCATCCATTTCTTCTCAGCATCTGTAGTGTGTCCCAGCTGAGGAGGAACTGGGAAATATCTTCCATTAGTAGCTAGTGGGAATGCTCTAAATAAAAATTTTGATACTATTTTGATACTTTGATACTAGCAAAAGAATTTTTAAAAGTACCACACATCTTGATTAGCACATGTGTGCTGGCATGATGACTAAAAGGATATAGCAGGTATGAAAGCTATACACATAGAACACTAATCACAAAATTCCTCGTGAAATTGAAGTGAGGTTTCAAATGGGATGTCAAAACATTCATTCCTTGGCCCTATACTTTTCAATATTTGTATTCATGAGTTGCAGGAAAAGGTAACATCAGATTTGCAGATGAGATAATGCTAATATACTAGAAGACAAAAATAAAATTCAAAGAAATGGGCTGAAAAATTAACATAAAATGCTAAGTTAGTTGTATAGGAAAAAAAATCAGATGTAGATATATAGAACAGGTTATACTTGGCAGTGGTTTATGTGAAAAAGATTTAATTATTGTTAACTACAAACTGGATGTAAGTTAGCAGTGTTATGTGGCTGGAAAAAATATTAATGCAACTTTAGGCTGAATTTACAGAAATTAATTTCCAAATCAAAGGAAGTGATAAGCCTACTGTATTGTACATTAGACTCACTTGAATATCGCATCCAAGTTTGCCTCTCCCCAGAAGTCACATTTCCCAAGTGGGAAAAGTTCAGAGAAAATCAAGAAAGATTACCAGGGGACTGGAAATTAAGTTATGAAGAGAGGCTCTGAAGATATTAAGCCTTTAGAAAATAAGACCTAAAAGAATATCAAATAAGGAAACTAAGTCACACGAGGAGCATGGGTAACATGGGATTGTTCTTTGACAACACTTTTTAAATACCGTATTTAATGTCATAAAAAAGAACATTTTTCGCTATCATCCCAGGAGACATATGTAAAACAATGAATTAACTTCCATGAATAAAAATTTTGGTGAACTCTCCTAACAGAGCAGTTCTACAGTCAAATCTATTGCCAGGAAATGCTAGGTGCTTGTTCATTAAATGTGTGAAGCAGAGGTTGGACAATCGTTTGGGGTGCTTCAGGGTGAGTTCCTGCACTGAGTGGGGTGAACTCAATAGTAATATCCAACTCTGTTAAGAAATGAAGGTTTAGAAACTGACCAGCAGTGAGTAGCTGCACGATACTGTGAAGCTGATGTAAGTCTAGCTGATGTAACAAGAGTGATTCAGCAGAGTATGGGTATTTCCCTTTAAGTTCCCCTTAAGAGGTGTGTATATAAAGGCAGCCATTAGAGGGCATGGTTCTTTTTCCTTGTGACCAGTATTCAGTGCAGAAGTTCTCTGTGTGTTAAGAAGAAGAAAAGCTTGCTTGTGAAGGTATTGCCACCACATTTATATTGTCTGTATATACCTGTTGTATATTAAACCACTGTTACTGTCTAAGTCTCTATGTGCTGTGTAGTGCCCCTGGGTTATCTCATAAAGGTGCCAAACGCTCTGACAAACTCTATTTTTTTCCTATGTGTTCAATTCAGCTCTTATCACTGCTCCTGAGAATATTAGAGTTTAGATACAAAATATCTAAATCTCTTAGCAGCACTTCCTTTCAAACAAACTAAATAGAAACATCAAGTGCAGGTTGCCTTCAACTTACAACCACAAATGACCCCAACATTTATGTTGCTATTTGTTAAGTGAGCTTTGGCCCATTTTATGATATAATTGTTAAGTGGATAATTGCAGTGTTAAGTTAGTAAAATAGTTGTTAAGTGAATCTGACTTTCCCATTGACTTTGCTTGCCAGGAGGTTGCAAAAGTTGATCACATGACCCTGGGACACTGCAACCATCATAAAGATGAACCAGTTGCCAAGCATATGAATCTTGATCACATGACCAGGGAGATGCTGCAATGGTCATAAGTATTAAAAATGATCAAAACTTTTTTTCAGTGTCATTGTAACTTTGAACGGTCACTAAATGAACTCTTTTAAGTCAAGGACTACCTGTATAGTGCTTCCTGAAATATTTTTTTCCCTCTTTCCTCCTTCTTTGGTAAGAAATCTGTAAATATGCTAAATTTTTCTTATATTTAGGATTAACTTACCCATTCTTCCCAGTTTGCTATTTTTTGGGCCCTTTCTTCCAACTCCTGTTTCTCCAAGTCAGCCTTTTCTTTAGCTTCTCTAGCAAGGCGTTCTTCTGCTAGTTGCCGTTCAAATTCTTCCTTTTCTTCATCTGTCATACCATAATTTCTAGGTTCACCAATGTTTTTGATTATTTCTTTTGCTATAACTCTGTTTTCCAGGCCCTCAAATTTTGAAACATCTTTGAAGTGTAAAAAGGCAGGATAGAAAAAAATTGTGAGTTACATAAAATTATATTCAATGTTATTACTTTTTAATTATTATAAACAAGCCAGTTGCTTTGTTAAAAATGCCTCCTTGCAAATTTAGCAAAAAATATGCCAAATGAATGGCACCAAAGCAATATTCAATATATAATTTTTCTATTAATATAGGCAAATGTATAGTGTTGTAATATTTGAAGGGACCATGTATTTTTGCATGATACAACCCAGAATAATATATGTGTGGAGCAAAAGTAATGAAATTTGTCAAATGTACAAAACTATTCATTAAAAGAGTTTTAAAAAGTAGACATGGAACATCTATGGCTCTATGACTGTTATCAGTAACAGCAAGAAAATATTAAACTGTGGACATTCCACTATGATAGCTTTGAATCTAAGCAGTCATTTAATTCATTTGCTTCTCATATTTATATCACATCTTTCCTCCACGACCTCTAGGCAACATATATAGTTTTTTTCCCAATTTTCTTCCATAATAACTATCTTGTAAGATAATGCGATAAACTGATTCTGGTATGACACAACAGTGTTTTGTCAAAGTATATGATGTCCCCTATGCTTGAAAGATGGAATTCATCTTTTGTTTTCCAAACAAAGTCCTTAAACATGTTGAAAACCTTTTCTAACTAGCCACTTTGTAATTTTCTGGCTTACTGGTTAGACACAGGACATCAGAGAAGAAGCTCTGGACAAAGTCGGACAAGCTTCTCAAAAACAGCAGCCTTTTATATCTCCCTTATTCTATAAGACAGTGTAGTACTGAGGAGAAAAAGAAATGAAAAAGGAATGAGGAGAGGACCCTGCCTAACAGCATTCAAGCACAAGGCACCCACAATATTTCTCCAACTATTTTCTCTTCAATAAATTCTGAACAGGTACTTTTCTTTCGAGATTGACCAGGCCAAGAAACAGATATCAGAAGAACTATTGGAATTCTATCACTAAAGTTATTGTTAATTTATCAATTGATTTGTTATTAATTAAAACAGGATCTTGAAAACCTGAACAGAAATTCCCTCTCGCCTTATTATACCAAAGAGAATCAAGATGGAGCAGTCTTGAATTTCTTTTTCACTCCATCCTCCCTTCCAAGGCTAAGCTGGCATTCACCTAACGCAGCGGTGGTATTCTACCAGTTCGGCCCGGTTCGGCCAAACTGGTAGCTCTGAGGAACATCTGTGAGCGAACGGTTTGCTCCGATGATCAGCTGCTGGAGCCTCCCAACCACCGCAGCTCTATACTGACCTTTATTTCTTGCTTTTCAACCTCAGCTGCTTTGCGCAGCACAGCCAATTGCTGCGCATCAGCTGTTTTACATACAAGGCTTGCAGCAGAAGGTGAGTTGCAAACACTGTGCGTGTGCAAAGCGTGCACACGGTAGGAAAACTTTTTGAAACCCACCACTGACCTAATGGCTATTGAATTCCTTCTTCAAGACCCCTCTATACTTCTTTATAACATGTGCTGGAATCCATGAATCTATTCAATAACAATTTTACATAAGCTGACTACTGTTTTTATTTGGAATTCTGTGTTTGTGACAGAGAAAGAAAATCTTTTTTCCTATAATCCCTTTTTCTCAATAAAGGAAATGATAAATGATCAGCATACAAATGTAAACAAATACATGTAACTGACAATATTGCCTAATTAGGTAAAGACATTTCTGCAAGAAAACAACCAAGTTCAGAGATAACCAAGGACTCCCCCTTTCAACCCTGAGTTACAAATATTCTCTTCTATTGGAAACCTTAGTCACCATACTCCATTTTGTTTCTAGGGATTTGGTTTAATAGTGGAATTTCTCATTAAAACCTGTGCGACATGCAAACATTTCCTTCTGTGTTTTGAGCTACATGTTGTTTTCTCTTTTTCCTACAATAGGTCAGGGAAGACCCTGACTGAACATTAAAGATTTCAGGATGGGCAATTAAGGTACATCAGGAGGCCTAAATTGATTGGTATTATCCAATCATTAATATATCAGTACCTGAGGAATTCTTGGAAGCAGTTTGCCAGCGAAACTGTATTATTCCCACTATCACTGAAAAGAGGTACTTTAGCCTGAGAGACTGTTATTTGTATCACACATTGAGACTGCAAAATTGAGGAGGGATTTGAATTGGGCCTTCTCTTCTCTTGTCTACCACTTTTAACAATAAACAAATAACTTCTGAATACAGATAGTCCTTGACTTACAACCATCTGTTTAGTGACCATGAGAGGTTGCGATGCCACTAAAAAAAGTGACTCATGAACATTTTTCACATGTCTGTTACAGTATCCCCATGGTCATGTGATCAAAATTCAGCTGCTTGGCAACTGGCATGTATTTATGATTGTTGCAGTGTCACGTGATCAGCTTTTGTGATCTATCAAGCAAAGTCAATGGGGAAGTCAAATTCACTTAACGATTGTGTTACTGACTTAACAACTGCAGTGATTCACTTAACAACTGTGGCAAGAAAGATTGTAAAATAGGGCAAAACTCATTTAATCACTGCCTTGCTTAGCAATGGAAATTTTGGTTTCAATTGTGGTCATAAGTGGAGAACTATCTGTAGTAAAAGAAATAAGGATATTTATAACTTAAAATAATCAACTGCCATATATCTGAGTAAAGTGTTTAGCAGCTTATAATTAGATCATTTAGAAAGACTATCTGAACTGTATCTGATTTTGTGAGAAGATTCTTCAAAGGGAGCTCACACATTCACTTGACAAGTGTGAATAGGTTCATGTGTGAGAAAAGGATATGTTGTGTGCAAAAATGCATGAATAGGCAGGGTATAAAGTAGATGCCAGTCTGGAGCCTATTCCTACTGTTACTCCACCTTTTGCTGGTCTCTCCAGTCATAATCAAAAACTTCTCCAATCATCAGTGTGGCCTTTCATATGAAAAAAAAAGTCACCCAAATTTATGTCATTGCTATTAATAACATCATTTGATCTGATACTAGTTTTATTATCATAATTTAGTGATTATTGTTGTAGTGAAACAGATGCTGTCTGGATTTGCAGAAGTATTGGTTTCTTTAATTACCTCACAATGCAGCTGAGGTTACATATGCTGACTGTGGAGGGCAATCCCTTTTTATATTTTAATTCTCTTTTATGACTTCCTTTCTACATGTTGAGAAAATTAGCTGGGTATGAGAAATTGAGACCGAAAGGCATAATTAAAATAATTAAGCTATTTTCTTGTTTCCCTTTATTTGCTGTTTTCAAGTTGGCTTAACAAAATTTGACATATAATACTGTGCATGTTGTAATTTTAATCATTTGTTATCTATTGATAGTACATGAAAGTGACACAAAAGATCATAATGGTAGATAAAATGAAATGGAATTAAATGTATTTTATATCATACCAATATATTGTGGATGTATTTCTATTTCATCAAAATAGTTGAGAACAGTTTCATCCTCAGTGTTTAAGTCCCTAAAAAGACTGAGGGATCTTAAGTATCGATCCTGGGCATAATGCGTTCCAGCAACAATGCTTTCAGGGAGATTCATGATTCGGTTTTTCAAGAATTCATCAGAAGCATTCAAAGAAACAACATAGTCTACAAAATAAAAAAACATTTCAGATATTATAATGGTATTAGAGTGACCTGCTTAGTTCATCTTTTGAATTACCTTTCTGTGCACAATGATGAATCAGTAGTATTGAGATCCTGTTTAAAAACTATATAAAGGATATATAAAGATTACAAGAATGCTGAAATATATATGGCTTACATGGAGACAAAATTTGATCTGAAACTACCAAGCACACATCTGACTTTACATAATTAAAGATATATTTTCTTTTATCTTTCATGCAAGATATCTTGAATGGACAAAATATCAATGTGAACAAATCATTTTTGAAAGATTAAATTCACATATTGTGCTGATTCAGGATATAATTTGCTCAGTTGTAGTTTGTTGCATAGTATTAACAGGATGACAGGGAATAGTATTTCATCACTTAAATACTATAATTTACATATTTCAGGACACAATTATATAATGGGCGGTTGCATCATTGTGTGTCTGTTACTTTGGCATCATTGCAGTTTATTACAGATGATGCTGTGTGTCTTGAAGAATCTGAAGTTAGCTAGAATCACACATGATAATCTACAAAACATGTTTTACAAACCTCGCTGGCTAGATTGAAATATAAATAACCAACCATTATATTTAGTGCAATAAGTGGGTTAGTCAAAATTCTTTCTGTTTTATTTACCATTAGATAAATAAACCATCTTTTTATTTATGTGAATATCAAGATATTTACTGCAGTTGAATTGTTAATTATAATTAATTACTTGTGTTTTTTAAAATTACTATTGTATTTACTGTAAATGCAAATCATTCACATGTTTTAATAATTTCAGTAACAAGAGATACTTGCCACAATGTTGCAACATAAACATACCTATCTTAGTTTCAAACAACATATCTTTTGCCATTTTATTCCCCACTGAATGTTCAGCATTTTCTGGCTGAATAGTCTGGATTTATTAGAAATCCATTCTCACATGAAGGAAATGACTTGACAGTTATAAACTAATGTTGAATTTAAGAAGTGTTTAACCAAGTTATTTGATTTATTTAATATTTTATATATTCTATAGCTTTTGGCCACTGGTTACAGAAATTGGCTAATATTGAGTTTTAAGTTTGATTGCCAATGTCTTTGTAGGATAGGTATTGTCCTGATTGTATTGAAGGTGGAAGCATTTAAGATTATTGAAGAGATATTATGTCCAGTTAGCAATTCTGGGATTAGTTTTGGAGTATGAAGTACCTTAGGCATTTTTACTCTATTTCCCACCTTGTTTTCATGCCCTTATCTTGCTGGACAATTTTTCAATGAGTAGTGGATTCATAACTGCACTGGCTGGATACTTCTGTATTTCTCACCAACTTCTTATATTGATCAATATTTAAAATAATATCTCACAGATGGGATTTGGCGTTGTGAAATCATTATGCTTTTAGTTATTTTTAAAGAAATTTTGTAGGAAGGTGTGCTGTTGTAAATTATGAATGGGGAAGGTCAAAGGCAATATGTAAACTTCCTTTCCCTCAAATACTTGTATTTGAGACTTCTACCTGAGACTTCTCAGAAAACAACAACTGAATGAAAAACTTCTAGTGACCTTCTATTGCTGCACCATAGAGAGTATCTTAACTTATTGCACCTCTGTATGGTTTGTCAATTGCACAGTGGCAGATAGGAAAGATCTCAAAGATCCATCTCATCCTGGGAACCCTTTTTCTGAAATATTACCATCTGGCAGATGGTACAGAATAATAAAAACAACCACAAATAGGCTGAAAAACAGCTTCTATCCCAGGGCAGTAGCTCTTTTGAATTCTACTGTATAGTGCAGCGTTGGTGTGGTGTTGGGGGTTTTCAGTTCAATGTGTGGAGTGTGAAGGATGTATGTTTGTGTTTATTTTCATGGTATGATGTGCACTGAAGATGGTGTTTGATTTTGTTGTACAGGTGCAATGACAATAAAGTAAACTAAACTATTTTCAGCTTGTGTCTTCTTATACCATAAATGTCATGGATGAAAAATATGTGTTAACAGAGCAGGATGTGGGAAAATTGAAGACGAAGAGCCTGTGATGACCAGGGGCATGGCACAAAGGCAACACAGTCAAATAAGCAAGAAGAGTCCCTTTATTATCTCCAACTTTGCCCCCAATGTCCAGGTTACCTTCCGCTGGAGAAAAACTCTCCCAGGAACAGCCTTTAACTGGAGAAAATTCAGTCCAAAGCAAGGTACATACAGACTGTAACTAAAAATCCAAACAAACCAAGCTGCAGTAATTAACTTAACATGACAGGAGAAGGACTTTTAGACTTGAAAGCACGGCAAAACTCACACAGTTGGGAAGACGCAGTTGGGAAGACACTAGGAATACAGATAAGCCACGACAATACCAGATAAATTCACAATTTGCTCCCAACAGCTTGCTGTGTGCAGCTTCCCTTTTTAAACACTGTGTTCCCAGCTGCAGCTAATGAAGGGAATCAGGACCCTTTCCACGTTGCTCCCCTCTCTGTTCCTCCCTATGTGCCCTAGGATGAAGAGGGGGTGGACCTGGGTCCTCCTCTGAATTCCCTCTCCCTTGCTCTACCTCTCTCCTGCTCTGCCCAGCCGGACTTTGCCCTTCTCCAATTTCTTCCACAGCCAATGGAGCCACACTCCCACTCCCTGTCAGCTGTTCGTCCTCCCCCTCCGAATCAGATTCTGACAGGGGCATGACAGAGCCTTTAGTTTTCAGCAGTATGTCACTTACATTTTTATTATGAATGCTTTCCACATTTTCTCAATTCCCATATGACTACAACCAATCTAGGTTTAAAAATAGAATTAAAATAAATATTGCAAGTATGCTTACCAGGAGTTATTAATTTGTCATAGCGATACATTTTGCCTCTCATATCATCATCTTCTTCCTCCTCTTCAACTATTTAAAAAAAATTAACATGGTTTTAAAAACAACTGGGATTTTGCAGTTTGCAATAGAGGTCTAGTATTAATGAGTATATTTTGGGCTATTCCAAATATAATTATTGCCCTTGCTACTAACTGCCAGATTATACACCTTTCTTTAGTCTTAGTCTTACTCTTGCTTCTTTCCCTTTCATTTTTGTAGATAATCATGCTATAACCTTATGTATATTACTGACATTTTCCTAAACATTTCTGGGTCTTCTGAATCTAAGGCTGAAAAAAATATAGACAACTATTAGAAGGCAGGACAGACATTTTTCTATGTTTTTATTCCCATGCTGCATTTGTTTAGATTTTCCCACACTGTATTTGTCTGAATTTGTCAGATACCATATAATTAATTTATAATGGGTAGAGCCTTTAAAAAGATACATAAAATTAGGGTCTTAGATAACCAGTTACAATGATCTCATTCCATTCCATCATGAGCTTCGTAAATTTATTCATAAATAAATAAAATTAAAAGGGGAGGCAGATGTTGAATGGAAATGATAGGATGAAAAACTTTATGAGGCTATGGGTCTCATAATTTCATAAATACCATATGGTTAAAAGAATACATAATATATTTTTACCTAGAATTTCAGTAAGTTTTACATTAAATATTAGGCTGTGAGAAAACAGGAGACAAAGTGCCTTGATAATTGATTGCATATTATATTTTGACTAAATAATTCCATTTCAGCTGAAGAAACTTTTTGGATGAGAAGCGAAGTGCCTTCAAAGAAAAAAACCAGAAAGTCCAGTTGCCTCTTGAAAAAGCACCTTTGGGACAACCATGACCTGGATGACTGAGAATCTTCATAGACAAATTTTTCACTATTTCATCAGCCTCATGAAATTACTAGTTTTTCTATATGAAGAAACATACATATAACTGACTATACGCAAATACATTTATACATAGATACCATGCATATTATAGCATGTGAATACTGATACAGTATTTTCAACGGAAAGTGAGGTAAAACTGTTTAGTGTTGCCCTCTGTGCAGAACAGACTGCCTTTTAGAATTTCTCAGCAGCAGTCTTTCTTATCGTTTGCCATGTTCTGGGCATATTAATTATCCATGATTGTCACTAGAACATAGGTGCTATAAGATGAATACTTTATTTCAGCACAATTTACAAGGTAGGAGAAATCTGTTATTGTGAAACTGGCCACAGGTAAGTAGCTGTAATGCAATGCAATGCACTCTACATTAAGTTCTAATAAAGCAGTATACAAATACTTACTGTTAAAAAGATCTTTTGCCAGGTCATAGATTTTTGGAAACCCATCCAAAACGTACCCTTGGTTTTTACAAGGCATAGACATTAGCATTTCCTTCATGAACCGAATCACATAGTTATCATCTAGACGACCTAATTTTAATGGGAGATGTATTAGTTGAGGCAGAGTGGTCAAAACTGAAAATTACTATTATCTATACTTTTATAGTATACTTATCTATACTATTATCTATACTATTACTATACTTATTATACCTATAGTGTATTAGAATTACATACCCATAGTTACTTTAACTATAGCTTGATCAATTAGCCCAATTAAACTGATCCATAAACTAACTGCAAAGATTGGCAATTCACAACATGCTACAGTAAAACATGGTTTGCTAGTTTGTGACTCAGTTTGTTGCACAAATCAGTCAATGGGGTGAATTTATAGCTCAGCTAATGAGCATTTGCTGGGGACAAACTGACAAGCTGGCAAGGATAAAGCTGGGTGGCAAGATTTTGCTTTTTCTTTATTGTTGTTTGCTATTGTGACCCCCCCACCCCCAGAAATCTGCTTCTTAAAATGGGTAGCCTTACAATACTTTTAAATAAATAAGGAGGGGGAAGTGATGGTGGATGCAGCATTCTATCTATGTCTTCATGGCTTCTAACAAATGCCTGCAATTCAGCGTATTGTTTGAATGTAGGCTATCAGTCTTTTATTAGACAAATAATTTTCATTTATATGGCATTTTTTTTCTGTAAGAATGGATGTCAGTTGATTCAGTTGTATCTGAGAATATAAAGGAATGGAATCAGGCACCAGAAAGTTATGTTTTTATAATCTGATTAAGCCTTAAACCCTTCAATCATTATTTCCATAGTAGTGCTCTTTAACATTTCTGCAATTGGCTGGATTAAAAAAATTAAACTAACTTTCCACATAATGCTTCATATCTAATCTAATCCCTAGGCCACGGGTGTGAAACGCGATCATGTCATGTGATGTATCACGGCATACATTTTTTTGTCTTTGTGGAGCTGGGGTGGGTGTGGCCTGCATGAGGGCCCTCCGGCATGAGGGCCACCAGTTTGACTGGCCTGTGCCTAGGCAGAACACTTTTCAGAAATGATTCAAAATAATGTACCAATAAATAATGTACCAATAAAAACTTCAAAGTTTCTCCAAGGAAAGTTCTTTTCTGCTAATCATTAAAGCAACATTTATAGATTTTTTTAGTGGGGAAAAAAGTTTGTGTACTTTAAGACAGTGATCCCCAATCTTTTTTACGCCGCGGCCCGGTATCCCCAACCTTTTTTATGGTGCGGCCCGGTACCGACATCAGCTGGGCGCCGCCATCTTGTTTTGATGAAAAAGTGCTTCCGGTGAGCTTTCTACCCGGAAAAGCTCACCGGAAGCACTTTTTCATCAAAACAAGATGGCGGCGCCCAGCAAGCCAGTGGCCCGGTAGGACTTGTTCCACGGACCGGTACCGGTCCGCGGACCGGTGGTTGGGGACCCCTGCTTTAAGGGACAGACTCATAATTCAACTCTTAAAGCAGCTGCAGTGGTGTTTCAGGCTCATACATTTCCAAACACACATAGATATACTTTCCTCTGTAGTTCAAAATAATTATTTAATAGCTTTTCAACAAGAGCCAGTTTGGTGCAGTGGTTAAATCACCCAGCTAGAAACTGGGAGACTGTGAATTTTAGTCCTATTTTGTTCACAAAGTCAGCTGAGTGAGCTTGGGCCAATCATTCTCTCTCAGCCTAGGTGGGAGGCAATGGCTGATCTAATGATGAGTGATTGCAGGTAATCCTCGAGTTATGACCACCACTGAGCCCAAAATTTATGTAGTTAAGTTAGACATTTGTTAAGTGAGTTTTGCCTCATTTTACAATCTTTCTTGCCACAGTTGTTAGTGGTTGCTAAGTTAGTAACCTTGTTGTTAGGCTTCCCTGTTGACTTTGCTGTTAGAACGTTGCAAAAGATGATCACAGGACCTTGCAATCTGAATATTGAGCACATGATCATGCGGCTGCTGCAAAGGTTGTAAGTGTGAAAAATGGTCATAAGTCACTTGTTTCAGTGCCGTTGTAACTTTGTGCAGTCACTAAACGAACTGTGTAAGTCAAGGGCTACCTGTATTTCTCCTTAGAGCAGCTGAAGGGATGTTCAATCATCATTCATCATTAGATCTATCAAATCTTCAATTGCAGTGTTCAATATCATCATCATTTTAAACATTGTCTATCCACAGCAGGATAAAGGCCTTTATATAGTGGGGTGCTAATACATGTGTGACAACCAGCTCTGTCAGTTCCATTGCTGCTCACTGTGCTGCAAGGCTGCCAAAGAGCTGATGTGGATGGTACATATTTTATAGCTCTGCTCTTCTCTCAAGCAGCTTGGAAAATTCCTGAAAATTTTAATACCGGTAGTTTTTGACTTATGACCACAACTGTGCCCCAAAATTCCATTGTTAAGTGAGACATTTGTTAAATGAGTTTTGCCCCATTTTATGACCTTTCTTGCCACGGTTGTTAAGTGAATCATTGCAGTTAAGTTAGTAACATAATTCTTAAGTGAATCTGTCTTCCCCACTGACTTTGTCAGAAGGCTGCAAAAGGTGATCACATGACACCAGGACACTGAAGGAGTCATAAATATGAGTCAATTGCCAAGCATCTGAATTTTGATCATGTGACCATGGGAATGTTGGAATTGTCTTAAGTGTGAAAAATGGTCATAAATCACTTTTTCAATTGGGTTGTGACTTCAAATGGTCACTAAACAAACTGTTGTAGGTTGAGGACTACCTGTAATCAGCTCTTGTGAACTGTTATGAATGGGTTCTACCATACCACTCATTCCATACTTTATATTGTCTAGATTTTTGTAGCCAAAATCTGGTGGCCTGTCCATTACAACAATACTATTTCCAGCTATTTCTATCATTTCTTTCCTGCTTTCCTATTCATATTTTATCTCATGTTTATTTTCCTCTGAAGCGTTCACCATAATCTGGATGAGACTGATGAACCTGAGAGGTGATAAAGGCATGGAAAATTGAATCAGCCACAAATGGTTGAGATGACAAAACATTCAAAGCTATAAATCATGGTTTGCAAACCACAAAATATAGGTTTACACAAAATCAATAAAACCAGGTTACAGTTCCATATTTTTGTGAATACAATCAAGAAAGTTAAATGGAAGAAACACTATAAGAAAACCATTGCATTTACTCTAGAAGAGTGAATTTTTGCTAATTTTTTCATTAACCTGAATTTTGCTCCATGTTTTCTTTAACTCCATCTAACAATTCTTGTGCTTCTTCTATATTATCTGCTTGTTCTTCCTCCTCCTCTTCCTCTTCTTCTTCCCCTTCTTCTACAGACTCTGTTCCCTCTCGAGGAGCAACTAATTTTTCCTGCAGTTTAAATTAAAATAAAATGACAAGAAAATTTGAACTAAATTTTGATTCAGCTGGGGAAAAACTAAAGCAACTTTGCCCCGTTGTTTCTACAATCTATGAAAGAGTTCCCCAATGTTTCCGGTTTTGTAGACAGTGGAGGTGGGGGGAAAGGGAATGGTTTCACGCAAATATCCACTTATGCATCTCTGACTCTGAACAGTATACATACCAAATAAATTAAAAAGTTTTTTTTAATAAAAGATACACAATCAAGTTATTCCAGAGAATAGTGAATAGCTAATCCATATGAACACACCCTTAGCAAGATGGATCAGCATCAAACATTTCAGATCCCGATCCTCCCACGAGAGTTGCTGAAAAAGGTCAGCTTTGATCAGAGGTGGTATTCAGCAGGTTCTGACCAGTTCTGGAGAACCAGTAGTGGAAATTTTGAGTAGTTCGGAATACCACCTCTGATTGGCCCCGCCCCAATCTATTCTCTTCCTCCCGAGTCCCAGCTGATTGGCTGGTTCTTCTTTGGTTGCCCTGCACAGGAGAACGGAGCTGGAAAGCAGGTTAGAGGGGTGGGGAGGGAATGGAGATTTAGCAGTATCCTTCCCCTGCCACGCCCACTAAGCCATGCCCACCAAGCCACACCATGCCCACCAAGCCATGCCCATAGAACCGGTAGTAAAAAAATTTGAATCCCACCACTGGCTTCGATGCCTTAATTGAAAATAGTTAACTAACTTTAGTTGTACAAATGCAATCATGGCTATTACTAAACCTGTCCACCCAAATTCAAGGCTGAGTTTAAAAACTTGCCCTTGCTACTGCAAACTTAAATCTTCATTAGAAATGTGACATTATCAACGAAAATTTGAATTCCTATTCCCTGATTGGTTTTGCATCCTGAATTAGAAATCAGATGCCATGTCTGTATTGCCCTTAGTCCATGATGATACAATTGATTTAAACTTTGTACAAATCCAACTTTTGATGATTGTGCCAATAAACTTTATACTGATTTTTAAAGTTTAAACTGGACTTCTATGTTTAATTTAAAGAACTATTTAAGAGAAATGTACATAGAAGTCTACCATACTGAAATACATTATTTAACAGCTGAACTACATATGTTCCAATTTTTCTATTGAAATATTGAGAAGCAGAGAATAGAATGAACCTAAGTTATAAAGCACATGTTTTGCTTGCAAAATGAATTATTTTCAGACATCATGACAGAAACCATAAAATGCATAATCTGATGACGTACAATGCAGGACATTTTTGTTTTTAAATATGTTACTGTAAACTGTATTTTTAATTCTACTCATACTTCTATAATCTTTTATAACAGCCCACAACATCAGTGATCTGCTTACCAGATTTTCTATGGCTTTAGTGATCACTTCCTTTATTTTAATGTGGTGCACTTTGTAATATTTGCATAGTTCTTCTGCAATTGAAGTTTTCCCTACTCCAGGAGGACCAAGTATACAAATTTTAACTGGCTAAAAGAGAAGGATTTAAAATGCATATTTATTAATAATTCTTCATGCACCATGACCAAATTTTTTTTTTAAAAAAAACCCTATCTTTTACTTAGGTTCACAATGACTGATACAGGCTGGAAAAAAGCCTTCAATTCTGGTTCAATTCTAGGCTTCCTGCTATCATAGAAGACTGGCTGGCAAAACACTGCTGCTATCGGTGTTCTGCCAATTAAGACATAGTGGCACAATAGTTGAAACATAGCAATCGTTAAGAGGATGAAGGGCACTGCTTTTTTTAAAAAAGAACAACAGAGTTGGAAGGGACTCTAGAGGTCTTCTAGTACAACCCTCGCCTTAGGCAGGAAACCCTACACTACTTCAGGCAAATGGTTATCTAATCTCTTCTTAAAAACTTCTAGTGTTGGAGCATTTACAACTTCTGGAGGCAAGTTGTTCCTTTGATTAATTGTTCTAGCTTATGTGGTGTATTGCATATTCCCATTAGGTCATGGCAGCAGCCCCTCTCCCCCAATAGCACAAACATCTACCCATAGCGGGGAAATAGCTCTATCCATACTGACTAATCCATCCATGGCTGTAAAATAGCTTAGGATATAGTATAATTGAGGAACTTTTCCCCAAGGACCATATGTACACCAAGCTCTATTTTTGTAACCTTTAGAGGATTCCTGATGATTGATAAAAAGCATACTCCCCAGGGGTGGGATCCAACCGGTGTAACTACCGGTTCGGTGATTTTACGTTTTGCGCACACATGTGCCTGACGCGCACTGCGCGCACATATATCATCATCAGCTAGCTGCCTGGACAGCGCTGCATGCAGGTGTGCAGCAGTTGAAAAAGCACTTTTTTCCTGCTTTTTCAACGGCAACTGTGTCGTGCAAAGCAGCTGTGGTTCAAAAAAGCAGGAAATAAAGGTCAGGTAAGAGACAGGGAGGGCGGGTGGGCCAAAACAGCAGCAGACATAGAACCGGTTCTATGTATGCTCTCTGTCTGCTGCTCTTCAGAGCTACCGGTTCTACAGAGGTGGACAGAACTGGTAGAATCCCACCCCTGATACTCCCATGTTAATATAGTTCAAATTGCAGTTTACAACTGATATACAAATACACATTTTCTCCAAATTGTACAGGAAATACGTAGTAGTTCACAGTTCACTCCTGAATTGCAAGTATGGATTTCCATTATGATTACCAATAATCCACGAGTTAGTTTATACTCATTGACAACTTGTTCAATGTTTTCTACTATCCCTCCTTGAGCAACCCATTTTATGTTGAAGTTCTCCTTCAAGAATACGGCTTCCATTCGTAGATTCACAAACAATTCATCCAAGTATGTTTGCTGTAGGAAGTGCAAGAAACTGTTATTAGCAGTATTTATAAACAACCTTTCTGCATAGTACAATATAGCAGCACACTTCATAACAGAAATTAAAATTATAAATGCAAATGGATAACAAAAAAGGTAAAAAAAACCACTTCTCTAAATGTCCAATGAATTATAAACATCTTAATCTGGGGATTAGAAAAAAATGAACTTTATCCAGGCTATAACTATAAAGTTTTACTAAGTACCCCCTAGTATAAAACTAATCTAGAGACCCTTCAGAGTCAGCTGGGAACTGTACCTGCTGTGACAAAATCCATTAAAATATATCAACATGAACATTACCAAGGTTGATACTTAGGTTTATCTTTTGGGATTTGTCATATAGTAAATGAATAAATGAACTATCAATTTAAAAGATGGAAAGTATTGCTTATAGATTTAACTGATTACTCACATTCTCTCAAATTACTCCCCCCCCCCCACCCTGCTCCTTTTCTGTTAGTTAGAAGTCTGAGATTTTGACCACATTGGATATCCTGAGCATCTTCAAATCTTATTTTTAAATGGCAATATACTTCTTCTTTCCTCGTATTGTAAATACCAGTTGCAATCCTCCCATCTTGATCAACTTCTGCCAAAGCTGCTATATGAAATGAGAAGGAAACTGCAACCAGTTGAACTTTATCAAATTTACAAGGCTGCCCAACTCCATGACAATTCTTAGCAACATAATGTATTTTAAAAAGAAATAGATATACAATGGGAAAATACAAATACCCAGAATAGAACAATAAACACCTGATCTGATATAATAACATTCCCACAAGCTAACCTAGCTAAAAAATGTAAGGCCTTATTTAAATGAAGTCAATGTGAGGGCAATACAAATCTCTTCTTCAAATAATCTATCCTTTCTAGTAGAAAATATTCAGAAAGATAAGAGTACCGTTAATTCTTTGCTTAGGAAAGCATTTTCTCTTGGAACCTTCTGTATTTTTCCTGGGCCCACATTTTTGCTGATGCACTTGAGAAAAACAACAACTGAGTTTCAAATCTACCACAAATAACAAATCATTAAACACACAAAGTCTATTGCTTATTATCTTTTAACCCATAAAGCTGTAATATTAACACTTAATATTGAGTCAATGGTGCTAAGAAACAAAGCACAATCCACCACCTTTTTGCTCAGTGCTATCCCTGCACTTCTATACAAAACTGCTGCAGGTTGTAGAAGCTGTACACTAAGCAACTTCTTTATAATAAGTGTTTTATGATGCAAAGATGTTGATTTGCAAAATTCTACATTTTTAGTTAAGAGATATGATCCAGACACATCCTTAAATTGTATAACTCCATTCAGGAGATTTATCATCTTTCAAAGATTGTGATCCTGGAACAATAATTATCTTTTTCTTGTCTGGTTTCAGGTTTAATATATTCTTCTTTTAATCTATTACTCATTTCAGGCAGGGGAGAATTGGAAAGCGTAGGTGTGACCTTCCAATGGTTCTGATTCCTCTGACAACAGTAAATGCCAGACTATTTGCCCCCTTAGCTCTATAAATCACATGTGTATTCTATATTTCATTTGTTTTCTATGTGCTACATCTAATTGTATTTAGGACAGAGATTTTGAAAATGTGTTGCGTACCATGAAAATAAATCTGACAGTTAAAATTCTTCAACCATTTTACCTTCACAATTTCACCCAGGGTTTGTGTTGATTCATCCACTGCAACTAAGTAATTGGTCCTCGGTCTATGATCTGCTATATTCTGCAACACTCTAATGTGAATGGATACATAGAATGTACAGTGAATGCATAGTGTATAATAAATATATAAAAGTGAGGAAATAATAATTTAGTTTCTTCCACATAATTCCTGAAAAATTTATTCAGTAGGGTTTGTGGATTTAAAAGGGCAATGGTGGAGTGTTGGGAGTGGAAGTTGATATCTGGCCAAAAGTAATTAGAGTTATCCCTTCCATATTAGCACTCTATAACTATTGCTTTTTTTTGTTCAATAAAGTCCAATTTTCAGAGACTGCCTGGCCAAATTCCTGCAGATTTCTTGACAAAGTTTTTCAGAATTGGTTGCTATTGCCTTCTTCCTAAGGCTGAGAGAAAGTAATTAGCCCAATGTCTCCTAGCTGTCTTTGTGCCAAACACAGGACTAGAAGAAGTCTTTAGTGTTCTAGTCTGATATCTTAACCACTCTTCCAGACTGGTTCTTTATATCAAACTGGCACTCTAATTATTACTCACAGATAATTAAATCAGATAATCAATTGCATCATTTCATGCACATTTAGGTCTTCGGGTGCTCAAATGACACCAAAGTTTTACTTTCTTCAGGTACTTGGCATTAGGCAACATTCCTTTTCATATGCAGGAATTTGTAAATTAAAGTGCAGGAATTTGTAAATTAAAAAAAAATCAATTTGGAAACCTACAAAAAGCTTAAAGCTGGTTTACATTCTATTTATTTATTTGTATCTTGCCTTTATTATTTGTACACATAACTCAAGGCAAAGAACATATTAACTGATTCAGTGCCATTAACATGAAGGGAACATGCTATTAATTTCAGCAAGGCTACAGGGAAGACATCAGCAAAATTCTGAAGTTTTGGGTTGTAGATTGTTCTCGACTTATGGCCATAATGGAGCCCAAAACTTTTGTTACTAAGTGACTTGTGCCCTGTTCTATGACTTTTTTTGCAATAGTTGTTTAGTGAATCACTGTAGTTGTTAAGTGAATCATACAGTTGTTGAGCAAATCTGGCTTCCCCCCATTGACTTTGCTTGACAGAAGCCAACTGGGAAAGTTTCAAATGATGATCATATGAACTCAGGACAGTGCAACTGTCATAAAATACATACCAGTTGCCAAGTGCTCAAATTTTGATCACAAGGCCAGGGGAATGCTGCAATGGTCCTAAGTGTGAAAACCAGTCACAAGTCACCTTTTTCAGTGCCGTTGTATCTTTGAACTGTCACTAAATGAATGGTTGTAAGTCAACAAAAGCAAAAAAAAAATAAGTATACTTACGCTGCTAAGTCAGTAATGTGAATGGTTGGAACCACATTTCGTCCATCTCCAAAACATGGTATTGTAGGAGTCTCACCAAGCCAAGACAACTGCAAATATTTACCAAGTAGCTTAATCTATCATAAATACAGTTGTATGCACCATTCCTTTAAGAAGGTAGCTTATCAATTAAAAGGACCACATTAATTACAGGCTTTATAGGACTTGAATACTACATCTGGTTTTAAGTATTATAAACAGCCATTAAATGCCAAGAAATTACAGGTAAAAATGGTAGAGAAAAAGCACGACTGCAAAATGTATCACGGCTTTTTTGTTTTTGTGGTGACCGAAGTAGATTAGGAACCATGAGTGGGAACGAACCCCTTGGATAAGGAGTAGAAATCTGTTTTGAGTTGAAGGCAGCACTTCAGTATTGAATGACTTGTCATGGACCATATTTCAAAAACAGGTAAGCCAAAGTAAGTAGGTTGTACCAGGACAGAAATAAATATTTTAATGTGTTTAAAACTACATGGAATGTAATAATAAATACACTGTAATCAGTAGCAACTTCTGAAAACCTCTAGGGTTCTATTTAATGATGGGGGAGGCTACAGTTTCAGGCAATGCACTCTATAGCTATTGCAATCTGCAGGTTTGAAGAAGCTCCATTAGAAGACTGTGCTGGGATTACCTAGCCTTTCTAATCTGTTAGGTTAGATATGTTTTTTTCTGGATAAGTGGTACTTGTACAATATTAATTTTGTAGTACATTACCTTAAAAAAGTAGTGGAGAAGTCTTTCTTCAGCTCCATACTGAACACCTGAAGCAATAACGTATGTGTCAAATTTGTTTCTGTTCTGGGGAGAAAGATTTTAAAAAAACTCTGTTCAAATAAATTTCAAAACTTAACTGACATAGAATTGACATAGAATTGATTCAATGGAGAAAGCAAAACTTTTCCATGCAGAATTTTTTGGAAGGAGAGAAGCAGAGGCAGAGAAAGAGGTCTCATTAATTGAGTTTCAAGAGGAACAACTGGAGATTGAAGAAGAGGAAGGTGCAGTAGGTGGACAGGTGGATAGTAAAGAACAGCGTGAAGTGAGATCCACGAGAGCTGTTAGACCTAAATATAAAGCATAATCATGGAAGAAAAAAAATTGATTACAATGAATATAAATGGACTCAATTCAGCTGTTAAAAGAAGGAAAACTTTTCATAAATTAGAGAAATTAAAATTTGATATAATTTGTTTACAAGAAGTACATATCAAAAAACAACATGAACAATTGTTAGTACAACCAAAATTAGGGAAAATATTTACTTCTTTGACTCAATGTAAGAAAAGAAGAGTGGTTCTATACATCAAAGAGGTCATCTCAGCAAAATTGATTTATACGGATGAAGACGGAAGAGTATTAATGGTGGAAATAATGGACAATAATATAAAAATACTTTTGATTGCAATTTATGCTCCGAATGATAAACAAGAAGAATTTTATAAAAAATTACACATGAAAATAACTGGACTGGACTATGTTAATATAATTATGATGGGAGATTTTAATGGAATTGTGGACAATAAACTGGATTATATAGCAACAACAACAAAGCAAAATAGAAAGACTCTCCCTAAATCTTTTTTTAAAATGACAGATGAATTAATCTTAAAAGATATTTGGAGAGAAAGAAATGTTAAAGCTAAACAATATACTTTTTATTCAAATAGACATTTATCATGGTCCAGATTGGATATGATTTGGATCTCATCAGAATTAATATCTAATAGTCAAGAAACAAATATTGAAACAAGTACTTGGGCAGATTATAGCCCAATGACAATTAAATGGAAGGGACAAAAAAAAAGATCGAGATGGATGTTAAACAATACTATTTTAAAGGAAAAAGATTTTACACAATGGATGGAGAAAGAATTGGTTTTTTTCTTTAGGGAAAATAAAAAAGAAGATACTTCATCGCAGAATGTTTGGGATACAATGAAGGCATATATTAGAGGTTTGATAATAGATTATATAAGAAGAAAGAACATTAGGAAAAGGCAAGCCACTAAGATCTTGGAAGATGAGTATAAAAGACTTGAAAAAGAATTACAGAAAATGCCACAGAGAAAGGACATTAAGTTAAAAATGGATATAACCAAACATAAAATGGGTCTAATAGAAAAAGAAGAATTAGCACAAAAAATTAGAAATGCTAAACAGAATTATTTTGAAGATGCAAACAAACCAGGTAGATGGCTAGCATATAAATTGAGAAAAGAGAAAGAATCAAGAAAAATATCGAAGTTAATAGATGATCAAGGCCAAGTTTGTTATGGTAACAAGGAGAAAAAGGAAATTGTTCAAGATTTTTATGGGCAACTATATAAACAAGAGAATATTGATGAAGAAAAAGTTAAACAGTATTTACAGAATGCTAACCTACCGAAGATGCCTAAAGAGATTGAAGGAATGCTAGAAAGCAACATAACAATGATGGAATTAACTGAAGCACTTAAGAAACAAAATAATGGGAAAGCACCGGGTCCAGATGGGCTTCCGGCAGAATTCTATAAAACATTTCAAGAATCATTGAGCATTCCATTGCTTGAAGTTATGAATGAAGCTATGTCAAAGAAGATGATACCTAAAACATGGTCAGAGGCTTATATTACACTTATTCCAAAAGAAGAGGCTGATCCACTGCAAATTAAGAACTATAGACCTATTTCTCTATTAAATGCAGACTATAAAATTTTTGCTTCAATTTTAGCAGAAAGACTTAAAAATACTTAAACAATTTCATCCACCCAGATCAAAATGGATTTCTGCCAAAGGGACAAATTAGAGATAATATGAGAGTAATTTTGGATACTTTGGAATATTATGAGGCACATCCTGAAAAGCAAATGGCTTTGATATTTCTAGATGCTCAAAAGGCATTTGACAACGTGAACTGGAGATTTATGTTATTACTATTGGAACAGATGGGTTTTGCCAGAAAATTTGTTCAAGCAATAGAAGCCATATACAATAAACAGACAGCAAAGGTAATGATGGAGGGAGAACTTACAGATTTTATTAATATAAGAAGAGGCACAAGACAAGGATGTCCCCTATCTCCTTTGCTATTTGTATTGACTTTGGAAGTGTTGAATAGAAATAATAGAGATGATAAAAGCATAAAAGGAATGAAAATTAAAAAGGAAGAATTTAAATTGCAAGCTTTTGCTGACGACTTAGTCTTTATTTTGGAAGATCCGTTAGAAACAGCTCCAAAGTTATTGGAAAAGATAGAGATATGTGGTGAGGTGGCTGGTTTGAAAATAAATAAAGACAAAACAAAGATTTTGACAAAGAACATGCTACTGAGACAAAGAGAAGAACTGGCAGACCTGTTGAAAATCCAAGTTACGAATAAGGTTAAGTATCTGGGGATACATTTGACAGCAAGATGTAGCACATTAAAAGAGAATAATTATATTAAACTTAAACAACAGATAGCTATAGACTTGAAGAAATGGGAAAATTTGCAATTGTCATTAATAGGGAGAATTTCAACAATTAAGATGAATATTTTACCCAGAATCCTATTTCTTTTTCAAACAATACCAATTAGGCTCGGAAAAGACTATTTTGATGATTTAAATAAAATTATGTTGAAGTATATATGGCAAGGTAAGAAAGCGAGAATAAAGCTAAAGCTTTTGCAAGATGCTAGAATTAGAGGAGGTTTTGGCCTGCCCAATTGGGAATTGTACTATCAAGCTGCAAGTTTGATGTGGGTTAAGGAATGGATTGTTGACATTAGAAGGTCATGACTTGCTGTTGGGTTGGCATGCTTTTTTATGGTATAAGGGAACTAAAACACAGGGTTATTTTAGAAGACATTATATACGGGAGTCTTTGTGGTTAAACTGGGAGAAGATAAAAAGACAATGTTATTTGAAAATTCCAGTTTGGTTATCGACTATTGAAGCATTTTCCTATCCTATAATTTATAAGAAGGAACAAACAGTTAGATATGGGGAACTATTGGATGAAAAGGGTGAACTTAAATCGATACAAAATTTAGAGGAACAAGGTATAAAGATGAATTGGTTTTCATATGCGCAAATACATTCAAGGTATGATGAAGATTTTAAAACAGAGGGATTCTATGATAAACAGACTGATCTAGATAAGATCTTGATGGGTACTGATGAGAAGGTGATTAAAAAATTATATGGTTATTTACTGGGAATTAAATTAGAAGAAGAACAAGTTAAAGAAACTATGATTGTTTGGGGGAAGAATTTTGGATATGGGATTGATTTAGAGAAATGGCAAAAATTGTGGTCTCAAAATTATAAAATGACAATGTCAACAGCATATAAGGAAAATTTGTATAAGATGTTTTACAGGTGGCATTTTCCCCCGACAAGAATAGCAAGAATGTTCAAGAACAAATCTGAAAAATGTTGGAAATGTCATCAGATACCTGGCTCATATTACCATATGTGGTGGACTTGTGAGGACGCTAAAAAATATTGGACTAAAATTCGCATGTGGTTGGAAAAAATGACAAAGAAACGTATAGATTTGAAACTGGAGTTCTTTTTATTGGGAATCTTACCAGATACATATAGTAAAGATTTGAAATATCTGATTGTAAATGTGTTAACAGCGGCTAGGATTGTATTTGCTAAAAACTGGAAGAATGAGAAAATACCATCACAGGAAGAAATTATTCAGAAAATATTGGAATGTGCTGAGGTGAGTAGATTGACATTTGAAATTAGAGAGCAAGAGGATAAACAATTTTATGAAATTTGGGATCTTTTTTATCAATGGCTAGATGATAAAATACGATAATAGAATATTTAGAAAGTTAGATAGTAAGGAATACCTTTTTTTTTCTTTTGCCTATGTTATTTGACATTATATCTATAAAGTGTTTTTAGGATAGATTTGGTATGATTATATGATTTGTTATAGAATAAACTGTTTAAAGTATTGTTATCTCATAAAGCATGAATGATTAAAAGTATAGTCAAATGATTTATTAATAGCGATATTAGGATATATGTTTGGATTGACAATATGAGTTGTTATGTAATATAACTGTAATTGAGACTACGAAATGAATGCACAAAACTAATGAATCAACCGACACACTGTATGTACATAAGAGAGTTGATGTTTTAATGTTTTGTTTGTCTTGTTTGTTTGTAGAAAATCAATAAAATTGTTTCCAACAAAAAAAAAAAAAACTTAACTGATTTCCTTTCTCTAGTAACAACCCATATATTAAGATAGAAGAGAATAAATTAGAACAACAAACTGGATGGAGATAAAAGAAGTAACTAGGCTGAGAATAAGAAAAAAGTCCTGTTTATATATTATTTAAAATGTTAAATTTAATAGGCAAATAAAAACTTCTAAGTAAAGGCTAATTGTCAGGCTAATCTTCAAAATAAGCAGACATTTTAGTAAGTAACTTCAATCATTTTTACTTCCTGACAATTCCTTACTTTCAATAGCCTGTGTTCTTGTTAGCCAATGAAAGGATGATGCTATCGCTGTATTTGGTGGGGGGGGGGTGTTAGGGAGGAAATTATTCAACTTCTTTATAGGGGTTCTCAGATTATTAGTCCCAATCTTGTAGGGAGTTGTGAACATCAGATGGGGGTTGCAAAACTAAATCCTTTGACAGCACTTCTGTCTTGTACTTTGCAAGGATGACTTTGAAAAATTGTGCATGCATGAGGGTAAATTTATTTATTTATTTATTTGGTTTGTCAATTGCTTACAAGATAATAGGTATAAGTAAAAACATAGTTACATGGATACATATAAGAAAAATAAAAAAAATAAAAGAACCAATAGGACAGGGACGATAGGCACGTTGCAGAAAGTTTGGGAACGATTGTGATATAGAGTGCTATATCTAACCCTAATCCTAGTAAATCAATTGTGGTATTCATGAAGATCACATCCGTTTACCATTTTAGGGGATTATGATACTGCAAAGTTTGGACCCTTGATCTTCTTGCCAAAGATAAAATATTTATAGCATTTATTCTTTCTAGGTGAAAGAACCAGAAAGAGCTTCTAGAGCCAATGAATCTTTGGCACTTTGTGGGAGACAGATGAAATATGCAACTTTTTGTGTTAATACTTACTGTTTTCCCAAGTTTGATAATGGTTTTTTCAGCGTTGATGTGTTCCACAAAATTAAGATGGGGTTTTCTTCTACGATAGTCTTCTTCAGTGAATGGTATTTCTGGATCTTCCTGGATAGAATAGATAGGCAGAGAATGATTTTCTTAATGTGATCATTGTAAATTTCCCATGTTTTTAATATACAGTATTTCATCTGAAGGCTACTCAGGTCTTAATGGGAAGGAACTACTAGCATCGGTTATCTCTCAGTGGTTTATCTGAAAGATGGTATGAGATGCTTAATTATTATAAAAATTATAAAATTATAAAAAGATGATTAATCTCAGTTTTCAGGCTGGTAGAAAACTAGTCAGTAAAATTAATTATATTGTATTATTTGTTTGCTTCTTCCATCACTCACCGGATCAAGAGGCTTGCTCCGTGCCCATGTCATTATTGTTGATAGAAGAATGAATAATTTCTGCTTTTCAAAGTGTTTTGATTCTGCATGTAATGCTGTAGTTTATAGTTTATAGGTTAATATAAATAGAAAATCACAAATATTGGGCTTTATCTTTCTCCAGTACTGCACAGAGAATAGCATTGCTAAATATTGCATTGTAAAATTCTTATAATGCCCACCTATCACCTGTGGGTGGGGTCAATATAGCTACATGGTCTATATGTATAGTGCTTAGTTGGAGAAGACAGAAATCAGATAGCTTAATCCAGTCACAAAGAATACAATACACACATACCAGGATTTCACACTTTTTCACTACCTCTCCTTGATTGTTTTCTGCTTACAGTATATGATTATACACGCTAATTTTGAAGCTGAAGTGAATTTGAAAACATATGATTTAAGTAGTGTATGATAATCCTCTGTCTCATCACAAGGAGCATATCCTATACATTCCAATTTAAGCATTATGATAAGCATTGCTAAAGTTCTCCTGTGCACTTGGGTCAAGCCATTTAATCCAGCATTGTCATTAGATAGTCACTCAGTATGAATGCCTTAAGATCCTATACATTTAGCACAAATTAAAAAATAAGAAAACTACAGCAAGGTATGTCCAATTGAATTTCTGAAAGATTTGAGCAAATTATTTATAATTGAATGTTTCATTTGCTAAACTAGATTAACTGTCTAAAGTTTGGTAATACAAGATTACTGCATTCTATATTATTTAAAGAAGAAATTTGACTGACCTGTTGCTGCCCAGGTTGCCTCATCAATTTGTTTGGGGTCTTCAGTAATGTTATAAATAATGACATCACATTCTAACATGTGAACTAGCAGTTCATCTTGAGAAGTTGTCTAAAAACAAGCAATTTATCTTAGGTTATTTTGGGTTTTTTCCATTGATATTCATCTGATATAAATCTCTCACTGCCTAGCTGAATTTAGTCACCAAAGATAAAAATTGGCATGGTTATAAGGTAAGGTCACAGCTAGCTTTAAAACCATGGTGTTTTTTCAGTGATTTATCATCAAACCAGTATGAAATATCAATGGAATGCAACAAGGGAAGCACTGCAGAGGTATGGGATGCAAAATATAGAGTTTTTTTTTAAAAAAAATTAATAACAGTGCATGTATATAACTAAGCATATGAATACGCTGTATATGAATCAACTTCTGAAAAGACATATGTTGTCTGAACCTGTATAAGCGAAATATAGTTTCCAAATAACAAAAAATAATATTTCCAATATGTTTTTGCACAGGGAGACCACATTTATTTCTTTATTTTCCCCCCACCTTTTCATATACTGTATATTTTGTATAAAACTCAAGGCACCAGACATCCTCCTCCTAAGAGCAAAGAGCATTAAGGATACTATGAAAACTCAAAACTGGTTTTCATTGACATGTAATATTGAAGTATATGTAGAAAATGGCTGGAATTTGCATTGTCACAATACATACTTTATCATTTGTTATTCCTTTCATTACCCAAGAATGCCTATATCCACAGTATACTTTCTTTTGATGCTTTATATTGTAAGATCTTGCAATTTAAAAAATTCTATGTGAATCAAATGCACATCAATAATCTATTCAATAAAATGAATACATACTGTATATACTTCCATGGCAAAATCTGGTTTAGTATTCTCTGGCTGTGAAAGAGTTCCCACTATTTGATATATTCCTTCTCTTGGTTTAGGGGGCCCAGTTTCAACAACTGATCTTCCTTCCTCATCTTCTTCCTCTTCTTCTGCTATTTCTTCCAAGGAGGCTCCAACAATACAACTGGCCAGATACTTACAAGGTACAATGAATGATAAGATGAGGAAAGGAAATTCAATGTTATTAATTACAGTTATTCATTATTCGGTCTGTCTGTCTGTCTGTCTGTCTGTCTGTCTGTCTGTCTGTCTGTCTGTCTATCTATCTATCTATCTATCTATCTATCTATCTATCTATCTATCT